GATATCTTACAGAGATACAATGCTAGGATATCTTGTAGGGATACAATGCTAGGATATCTTATAGAGATACAATGCTAGGGTATCTTACAGGGATACAATGCTAGGATATCTTATAGGGATACAATGCTAGGATATCTTACAGGGATACAATGCTAGGATATCTTATAGGGATACAATGCTATGATATCTTATAGGGATACAATGCTAGGATATCTTATAGGGATACAATGCTAGGATATCTTATAGGGATACAATGCTATAATATTCTATAGGGATATAGGCTGGTAATATGGAGGTCCTGTGTCTGGCGCTCTCCTAGAGGCTGGTAACTTGGAATCCCTTTCAGGAGGCTGTTCCTCCGGCCTCCACATATGGTAGACCACGGCGGCGTTCGTATATTGGCAGACTGTGACTAACCTGTGTGCTCTCTCTGCAGGCCGCGCCACCCTCCATGACAAGGCATCGCTGCGCATTGACCAGGCTCGCTCCCAAGATCAGGGCTGGTACGAGTGCAAAGTGCTGATGCTGGAGCAGCAATACGACACATTTCACAACGGCAGCTGGGTACATCTGACGGTGAACGGTGAGTCCCGTGTGCGGGCAGCGCCACGTTCCTGCGTCCTCCATGCTGGACAACGCATGACTGTTTTCAGGACACGCTGCACCTTGTGGTCCCACAACTGCTGTGTTTTAGTTTCTGCTTTAGGTCTCCGGTATATTTCACGTCCGGGATGTAGAATTTTCGGTATGACGGTACATTGCAGGTTGACCAGTTTGGACCCGCCTCTCCCCTCCCCCACACTGGCCCCGCCCTCACACTCGCCCCGCCCCCACACTCGCCCCCGTATAGAGCTCGTAAGGGGACGCACATGGGAAGAGTGAGAGACGTACACGGCCCGATGTGAGAGAAGAGTCCAGAACATGACACAGAGTTCTATGAAGCAATATATTCCCCCTGCAGGAGATCCGCAGGGGTGAGCGGGTCCAAACTGTTGCTGATGACCAGGCGGGACAATCTGCCCCCTCTGGGGTTATTATGGGCTGGCAATACTGCGCATGTGTCCTTCCATGAATAATAATATTGCAGTGACAGTGATCGGAAGGCTGATGGCGCCCCGCGTGTCGGATACCTAGAACTGCGCAGAGATGAGTGTAGTTGGTGCGGCATGTTTGACATTAGGGGGTGGGGGGCCATCTCAGCGGGGAGTCAGTACAGC